TATCATCCAAATCGACATCTTTGAGCATTTTATCGCCATTTATTAACCGACTTATCGTCACAATAATGGTTTGCGTTATACTTTTTGAATACAAACCATCGATGGGTCGGCCGAGAAGTAGTTCCGCGAAAAACACATTTGATATGTTTAATCGGGAATCAAGATATGCCAAAGTATGTGAACCACTATTTCATACCATTATTTATTACTTTTTTGTAGCAAAACGTGTTCACTAATCGATATCCGAAAAATTTCTTTTCAAAGGCAGTGAAATCAGAAAAATCTACAAAATCTACGAAATCGTTTCGAAGTCCATATTTGAGGCTCAGAGAAGTACCGGAGCCCGAGATCACAGCCATCGAGACATCGACTCACATCTTACAGTGCGAGGCCGGCGGGTCGCCCACTCCTACCATTCATTGGCTCAAAAATGGTCACAAAATAAGTCAGGTATTGATCAATATTCACATTATATTACGAGTGATTTGTTATTTGATGTCAAATGAGAATCAATTTGATGTGAATTATGGAAAATAGGGAGAATTGAGTTCATTGAGTGACGACGACATCGCGAAAGGCGAGCTGAGTCTGTCTCTGACCCGATCCGCTGAAAAGGACCTGACGCAAGTGGGCTTTCTGCGCCGCCAGATATGTACACACCGGAGAAGCGGGTGGTTAGCACAGTCGCGACTTAGCGTGCAGTTTCACCAAGGGTTAAACTCTAGGTCATTACAATTGTCTAATGAAGCCGACAATACTGTTGCCAAATGTTTGGCAAAGAAATCTTACGGTNGTGTGGCCTCTTCGCCCACCAATCGTGTCAGCGCTGAATCGCACGTCAAAGTGGTTCCCAATTTGAGATCCAGTAATGAATTGTCTAATGAAGCCGACAATACTGTTGCCAAATGTTTGGCAAAGAAATCTTACGGTGAGTTTTCATTCTTTAATTCAATTACTTTTGTTTAATTAATTCTAGTTTAAAAATGCAATACTTTTTGGAAATTGCCTCAAATCTTATTAACGTTAGACACTTCCCTCTCAGGTCGAATATATTCCTAATATATATTTTTAGAAGGAGATATTTTGTCTTTCTGAAAACAGGGAAAATAAGATAAAATGTGGTCAAACGATGAACCATTCCATCAATATAAATAGTTTTTTTCTAACAGTATACATGTGTCTCAATATGGTTAAACATACTATGTCAAAAATAATTTGTTAAATCCAATCATTTGATTTAATTTAAATAGTTTTTTAAATAAAACTTAAAAGAGCGTGAATTTTTCGGGATACATTAGAAATTTATATTTTCCGGGAAATCCTTATATTTTGGAAGGGAAGATATTGGGAAAATAAGAATTTTTCCAAAAGTGTCTAACATTAAATCTGATATAGTATTAATAGAGAGCAATAATTATTTAACAACAATAAAAGTTCTGTTGACTTAAAGGACATAAATAACTGCATTTAATTTATTTATGAATTGTTTTGTTTGTTTGAAACAAACATTTTATGATTGAATGAGATTTTTATTAGTGATTAGAAATGATTACAAATAATTAATTACAAGACTTTCAGCGGAAAAATGAGGCGAAACTTAATTTTTAAACACTTTTTTGGGAAATTGTTTAGGAAATAGTATTTCATCGGAATAAATATTTTATCAATAACTGCTTAATCGAAATCGTGTTTATCTATACTTCAAGTGAATGTTTATAAATATTTGAGAGAAAATCAAGGATAATATTTACAATTTTTGTTAATCTGTTGATTAATATTATATATGAAATAAAAAATGCAATTTTTGATTATAGTTTGAGAGCCGATACCTCTTATAAAATGCGTAATAATTGTTATTTGTTTAATATTTTGTCAAAATATATGGCAATAAATAGCAGACATATATATAATTGCAGAAATTCTTGATTAAAAGTGTTTTTATACTACTCGTAGTCTATAAATATAGTCTCAAACTTGAAATTCAATGCTTATCTCGAAAGTCAATCAAATGTATTGTCAATAAAATAATGATTAGGAAAAATACAAAAATATTTTTGTTGTAAAAAACAATGTGTTATTTGATTGTGATTTAAAGGTTCTGCCGCTCGGATCCATATGTGGACACATAATATATTGGAAATGATCGGTTCGGACGTGCAATTGCTGTGTCGGGCGAGTGGAGTGCCGGCGCCGGCAGTGAGTTGGTTGGGTCCCGAAGACAATACGCTTACGAATAGCGCAAAGTATAAGGTGTTAGAGAACGGAGATCTCATCATAAGGGACCTGACGTGGGATGATATGGGAAACTACATGTGTGTGGCCGA